ATGTTTACTTACCTACTTACGCCTGTTACCCCTCGTGGAGGAGCATAGGCCGCACACCAGCATTCTCCGTCCAACTCTATCCTGGGCAATTCTTTCCAGTTGCTATTCATCCTTTTCATATCTACTTTTATTTCCCGACGTAATGTGTTCTTTGGCGTTTCTCTTTTCCGCTTCCCTTCGAGATTCCAAGTTAAAAATTGCCTTGTGATTCTTTAAGATATATGATATTTAAATTTGAAAATAAAATCAACGTTGTTCAAGGTGAAACTATACAAATAATCCTAAGTGATTAGAAACATTTACAGCTCTTGATTATAATGCTAAACACTTTGCTGTTTAATATGAATTAATCGAGTTTCGGATAGGGATTTGAATGTACTTTAAGTTTTAATACATTTTACTAACTTATAATCAATATTGGCTTGTCAACCATTCATAGATTTTTAAACAAATCATTATCAATAAGAGGTGGTACGATTTGGATTTGTCTTAATTTAATTTGCCTTATAAATTCATCATAATTTTAAAAGAAAAAAACATTTTAAGATTGAAAGCAAAGATGTATAGTGGCTACCAGTGGGATACAGGAAGCGCGTTTCGTCGTATTTGGGACTCGTCAGCCTGATGTACCTGCATCTCAGAGTTGATGTTCACTCTGTGCGATGGGGTGAAGTTTAAATTCATTCAGTATTGTTTGTTTGAATCTTCCCATGGATGTGTTAGAGACTGACCAGTTGCAGTCCTAACACATCGATGGGAAGATTTTAACAAACAATACTGAATGAATTTTAAGATTGAATTTCATAAATTACTCCAAACGAACGAATACTAAAACAATGGTTAAAAATTTTAGTTCCAAGACAAATGGTATACTTTATACTTCACATGTTACAGACATTATATCACGTAAAAACGATTGTTCACATATGATGTCTTTTTTGTTTGGAGGTCAAACAAAACCTTTAAAGGTGTATTTTTTATAAGGTTATTTAATGTGAAGGGTACTTTTATTTTTGTTTTATTCTAGATTTTGGGCTGCGCTATATGACACGTCCCGAGCTAAGTATACTAAGCTTGGTCATGGTAACGGTTATTGGATAAAATAATAGTAATAATAGTTACCAAGAATATTGATTTAGTATTCAGTGACTTGTGTTACTTTGTTTTTTAGTTATTTCAATAACACTTTCCACCTAGCGTTTTTATTCCATATAAAATGTCATGACTAAAAATTACCTCTTGAAAAATCTGTTATTTAACTGATTTCAGATTAGGGGTGCAATTGATGTGACAAGATCACGACATGTTAGTTGTATCTCTACAGTTAGTTGGGTAGATTGTTTTTGATAGTTCCTGACAAGCTTTATTCTTTGTTCAAACTAATTATCATTTAAAGAGAGATAAAATCTGGTTTGGTGTGGTGTAAAATAATGTGGTTATGTAGACTGTTAATTATCTAGAAAGAAATGGTAACTAACATCTATGCGTCGAGTTGACCAATGATGCCCTTATTTAATGTTTTATGTAAAAAACAGCCAAATGAGACTTCTGCTATAGAAAGCAATCAAATATCACAGTATGTTTTAGATAATTTGAACACAGAAATGTATAAGGGGTCTCGTTATTGTATATATAGATACTACAGATAGTCATGCTAATCGATGTCAAGTGATGTTCATTTGATTAAAATATAACTGATAATGACAGGTGCAACAAAACCAAGACTTTTGCCATGGATTATGTTAGTTGTTTCAAATCTACTGTAGAAATAACTCATTAAAAAGCTAAAATCATCTTATATGCATTTGACACTCACAAAATAGCATTGCGAAATAATACCAACATCAGTCTTGAAAATACGCACAAACAATTGAATGTTCAATTATATAAGAGCAACACATTTAAGTGAATTTAAAAGACTAATTTATTAGAGACTTTTAGAAGTCATAGGAAGGCAACAGACCTTCTAGAAGAGTTTCTGTAAAATGAATAGGCACTCAAGATAGATCTTTTCTTGTTAATTAGCTCCGGTAAGCAGTTATCATTCAAAAAAGATACTTGCATCTGTATTATTTAGAACAATCAGATTTTCATGCAACACATTGTGTTTCATTACCGTTTGGTGTATACTCTAGAGAATGTACTAAAAAATGTAGTTTAGTTTAGCTAAACAGTTCTGAAATATTTTTTCTTTAATACTCATATAAATATATATATTCTCTGAATTCATTGAAACAGAGACTTGTTTAGTTCAATCAAGTCAATATTTTTATGAAAATTAATTGTCCAGGATAAAAGTGAACATATATTGTTATTTGCAATGGTTTGGATTATCCTGTATTTTTAAAATATCTTATTTGCGAAATTTTCAATAAGTTTGTATAGCTGATGTGTATCTTGTGAAGATTGATCCAGTATACCCATTATATCAAAATTTTCTATAGAGCTGATGGAACATGGATAACAGCGGAATCCAGAGAGTAAGTTTCGTGGCGATTCGGAATTATCACCTGGGTGTGTTTAAATTCAAGTGTTGATATTTGAGCTAGTACTCAACCTTAATACCTTTATAAGCAAAGATGGATGGAAGCTAGCAGTGGAATTCAGGACTCGCGTTTCGTCTTTGGGACTTGTCAGCTGAATGTACTTTCATCTCAGAGTTAATGTTCACTCTGTGACTCAAACTCAATACTGTTTGCTTTATACGCCATCGCGTTATTTGCTTAGCTACTGAGTTCCGATAACCACTTGCTTGTGCAATGGGTTGAAGTTTAAATTCACTTGGTATTGTTTATTTGAATCCACTCATTGATTTATAGGACCGCAATATATTAGTCTCTTATTGGCATATGTGCATACTATGCGTATTGCCTCGATTTAGCCTTATTTCACAAGTAAAGTATGGATATATGGCCAATAAGAGACTGATCTATTGCAGTCCTAAACATCAATAGGAAGATTCAACAAAACTGATTATGCATTGAGCTATTGAGTTCAAATAGACTCTACCTTGTATAATGAGTAAAAGTTCTAATTTACCTCAATCCACTGTAGGTTTCTATTAATAAACTAAGACAAAAATTCGCATTTCTATATATATATCTCTTTTTCAAGCTAATTTCATTATCATCTTAAATGGAATCATCATGTTAAAAAGAATATCTATTCAAAAGTAATAAATTTTACAAAATGATAAGGTAATGAATTAGTTAGAATTTCATCTTCATAGTTGAAAGCATAAGTCACTTGAAACTAGACCAGCAAGGAAAACCTGGAAGCACTGGGCAGCCGTTCCGTCCTATTGTGGCACTCCTCAGTGCGCAGTGCGCATCCATGATCTCGCCTCGTAAGATTCGCACACAGGACCTACGGGTCTCGCGGGCGAGCACTTAGCCAACAGACCACTGAGCCGGTATCCGATGGTGTCAATGTCTAACTTCAACTGATCCACGAAGTTTGAGCAACCGTTCACCAATTGTCTTCAGTGAGTTCCTATCTAACAACAGACCTGGTTTGAACTCCGCTGGTCACTGCTTCCCACTAGAACTCCACTAAATATCTCTTGAAGTCAGTCACTAGTAAGCATATGATTATAATAAGAAGGGATTTTGGGGAGATTTCACTATTACCATAGTTGAAAGCATGAATCAATTGAGACTGGTAGATCCTGGGTTTGAATCTTGCAAGGCGAGATCGTGGATGCGCATTGCTGAGGAGTCCCTTAAAAGGACGAAACGGCTGTTCAGTGCTTCCAGGTTTTCCTTGATAATCTGGATTCAATTGACTCATGCTTTCAACTATGAAGATATTAAAATCTCCACAAAACCCCTTGTAATTAAAATTTTATCATTGTTAATATAAGCAGAGATGGATAGTGGCTATCAGTGTAATCCAGGACGCGCGTTTCGTCCTATTTGGAACTCGTCAGTTGGATGTACCTGCATCTCAGAGTTGATGTTCACTCTGGGACTCGAACCCAGTACCCTCGCTTCAAACACCATCGTGTTATCCACTCGGCCACTGAGTCCTGATAGCCACTTGCTTGTGCGATGGGGTGAAGTTTGAATTCACTTAGTATTGTTTGTTTGAATCTTCCCATCGATGTGTTTAGGACTGCAACTGGTCAGTCTCTAATTGGCATATGTGCATACTGTGCGTATCGCCTCGGTATACCTTAATATTACCTTAATTAGAGACTGACCAGTTAAAGTCCTAAACACATCGATGGGAAGATTCGAAGAAACAATACTAAGTGAATTGTTAATATAGTTTTTATATCATATTTCATATATTACTTTAATCTTATATTAACACTTTATTTTGATGCATATATCTATATTTCTTTTAAACAACCCATAATCTATCAAAATAATAAGTACATAAATAAAAATCACATTCACTATTAATTTCTCTTGTTACTAGTCGGAAAAATGATAGACTAGCTTCTTTTCGTAAAAAAAACTATATACATTTAAAAAAATTATTGTCTAAACTCTTCACATTATATAATCGGTTATATTTATTGCCTTAATGTTCTAAAAAAAAACTGTTATTTAAGTAGTTTCTATATTAAAAAAAACAAAAAAAACATTTACCTAGCAACCCATGACAACCAATTTTAACATTAAATAAATAATATTAATCATTAATTATCAAACAATTTTTGTTTTATATCATACTGACAATTATTTTTTAAAAAAAAATAATAATGATAATAATATATATGAACATTATTTTTGTTTTATTTTTTCAATGGAATATTTCTTTTTATTTTATTTTATAAATATATGTTTGTTTAGTTGTTTTCTTATTGGAAACGTATTTTGATTGGTCACCTTTTCACAAAAAAAACAATAATAATTGTTTATTATAATTATATAATAAATAATTTCTTTACACCCTTATTTTTTTTGAAAAAAAAACAAACTAATTCTACTATGGAAAAAAATATTTTCTTAAATTAACCAATCATAAAATTTGATAAAATTATATAAATATGTCTAGTTTATTATTAATGTAATATCATGCACTAACGTGTATATTAACACAAATATAATCACTATCTATATACAAAAGAATTATTCATTTTAAAAAAAATACAAAAATTAATTTTTTGTGTTGACAGATTTGTTTACATATAAAACATCGCATTGTTTAACTGATTTTCCTTCATTGATCATAAAACTTTATCCTATTTATATTCAATAATTAAAAGAATTCTTTAAAAAAGAAAAAAAGAAAAAAAAGAAAACCACAAGAAATCCAAGATTATTTATATTGTATGCATATACACTTATATATACAGAGTTTAATTCATAAAATAATGAAACAAATAATTAAAATTATCACTTTTTTGGTTTTATGTTCAATGACTGAATTTATGCCTATTGGTCAAAGTTATTCATTGAAACAGGTTAGTGATTATGTAGATTATATTTATTTTATAAATTTTAAACTTACTTTTATTTTAATTTTATGTTCAATCATTTGCTTGTTAGAGGGTTGATTGAAGAGATTTTTAGTAATTTTTATATATAGTTGAAAGTATTAATCAATTGAACCTAGACCACCATGGAATACCTGGAAGCACTGGACGGCCGTTTCGTCCTATTATGGGACTCCTTAGTAGTGCGCATCCACGATCCCGCCTCGCTTATTATTATAGTCATATAGTGTATGCTTTTTAAAATCAATTACTTAGTAAATAACTGCGGTATTTTATATTCAATCTGCATAGCATATAGACTTTTTTGCAAGATCTTGTTTTGTATCATTTACAGAGAAAAAATCTGTTAGCGCACATTTCATATTGCTACTTATCAAAGTAAATATATATTTTCCATATATAATTTCTTTGAAAAAGCTTGGACCAGATTTCTAGGCAAAACGTTGGATTTACTTCAAATTCATTTGGTGAGATTTTACAAATATATTATTCCTATTGATTGTCTTACATCGACTCGGCACTTAAATACTGTGAAACAATTCGCTTTAATTTAGACGAAAGTTCTTATATAATTCTCACTGTTTAAAACGTATCGAATCTCGTATAGCTTTATAAAGTTTACTAAGAGAACTAGATTACACAACTCTTACGCATGTTATGACATGTTTTCAAATGTCTAAATGTTTATCATTGCAGTTTGAACAAAATAAAAAGACGAAATCTCTTGATCATTGAATGTTTAAGGTCGCAATTCCCGAAATTTCACTTAAAATAGATGTTTACATAGTTTTATTGTACCAATTTTCGAGGAAATGAAAGCTGAGTGTATTGTAATCGTTTTATTCAATATATATATATATATAGTATATTATATATATATATATGTATATTTACCTTAAACAGTATGATAATTTGGAATCTACTGTTTGGCATTGACGGAGTTTTGTTCTCTGAGCTGGATGGTTTGGTCGTGGAGCTTTCATCGTTCTTCTGAATGTTATCATCAGCACAAACTTTAGGTAGGAGTGAAGTGTTTACGGTTGATGTCGTTGAGAAGAAAGCTGAAAGCTCCACGACCAAACCATCCAGCTCAGAGAACAAAACTTCATCAAAATCATCAACCTGAGCTACGAATCTTCTCCACTGTTTGTTTTTCCAAAAAATCCAGTCCCAATTAATTATCTTATTTTTTGGCACTTAATGTTTTTAACCATTTAACCATAAAAAGATCACTAATCTAAGTGCATGTGCTTAGTGAGAAAAATTTGTCAAATAAAAGGTAAAAGTATTAGGAAAGATGTATTTTTTCGAAAAAATGCCAACTATTTGTAAATAGTAAATAAACTGAATTTTTGTAAACAAATAAACAGTTTTCTTTTTTAAGTAAATCAATCGTTATGTAATTAGGTGAAGGATGCAGATATATTGATTTGTAAAGGGATATTTTAAAGAAACCAAAATATTTCAGCTAATCTAAATAAAAGGAATTGTAATTTTTGAAAATTCACCTATGTATACAACGATAAATTAAGATGTAAGTAACATAGAATTGACAAGTCACTGACCGAATGAAATCGGTGATCCAGATTTCATCAGTAATTATTATGTATGGTTTAAATTATTTTTTATGGTTGACGTATTTTTAAAAAGTTGGGTTTTTATAGGATGGGGTCACTATCCCCATTCCCAACTCTCCTCTTTTATTCGGGCTTGGATCCGGCAGTAACCGTAAAGGGGCTCCAGGAGGAGTTAATTACTATATGTATAAGATAAATAAATATTCTAAATTTTATTATTCAAAATACCATCACTTGTATAAAAATGTATGTATATAAATATTGGTTATTATTTTGCACATAACAGAATCTAAACAAAGAGTTTTCTTTTGATAAACAAATAGAATAAAGGTTACTTTTCATTGTTTACTAGTAAATGACTCACATTATGGTTACAAGTATAATATCCTTAATAAACAAAAATTTATTTTTAACCATATACACCTACTTTATATTAATAACGTTTAATTTTTCAAAAAAAAAATTATGAAATAAAATTTAACCTTCATTAATGTAGAATTTGGCAAACAATCCGAAAAATTATGTTATCGATTTTTTCAACCCTTTTTTTCTATATTGTTCTTTATTAGTTTATTTACGCATCTATAAGTCCTTTGAAAAAAAAATTTCTTTTTTTAAAAAAACGAAGAAAATAAAAAAATATTTTATTCTAGTGGATCACTTTCAACTGTACCCATGGTGATTATTAATTACGGGAAAAAATTTTTTTTAAGGAAAAAGGTGTCTTATTTAACAGTGAAAAATAATTATTTGTATGGAACTAATATTGAAACGTAGTTTAAATTAAATATTTTCATAGAAACTTTTCTTTTTGATTAAAAGAAATGGAAACTATAATCCATTGAAGATAATTTAATTTAATAGTCTAATGCATAAAATGTCTAAGAATATACGAAAGTAAATTAATTGGAAATAATGATTTAGAATATCGACATAGAATTCCAATTTAAACATTCAAATTAAAAACATAAAGTTCAGTGAAGAGAAATTCATTTAAAAAGAGATCGCTTCGATGAACTTAGTGTATTTAATTTAGAATATCATCATGTTATATCAAAAGGAATGAAAGTTTAAAGATCCATATCATATTAAAAGACTAATATTTGAACGAAGAATATTCTTTTCGATAAATTCTCTTCAGGTTCTACAGTTATATATCCAAATTAATAATCCGAAAAAAATAGCCAGATTAAAGGCAAAGTACATTGTTTAAAGCATGTAAATTTAGGAATGGAATAAAATTGTTAATGTTGATATGACTCATATAGAATGTTAACTTGAATCTGTATATATGTTAAGTGAAAATTTATGATCTGTGATCAGAATAAATATGGGTCAGATAGGGTGTGAGAGAGATATGATAGTGCAATTACAGTTCAATCAAATGTTTAATGGAAGACTAAATTGTATGAACAATTGGTAAGACGTAATAAGAATAAGAAGTAAATAAATCATGTAGTGCGGAGATTAATGATGATGTTTAACCAATAATAATAATTATATATAATTAATTATATATTATAATAATATATATATAACGTTATATATATATATAATAATAATAATAATAATAATACAAAGATTTGTGAATAAAGATAAGAGAGATAATTATATTTGACTACGAAAGGTCGTAAGTACATTAGTCAAACATGCCTTAAACGATGTACTTTGCCTTTAACTTGGCCATTTTTTCGGATTATTAATTTGGATATATAATTGTAGAACCTGTGGAGAATTTATCGAAAAAAATATTCTTCGTTCAAATATTATTTTCATAGTTGAAATCATGGGTCAATTGAAGCTAGACCACCATGGAAAACCTGGAAACACTGGACGGCCGTTTCGTCCTATTATGGGACTCCTCAGCAGTGCGCATCCACGATCCCGCACTCGCGATGTTCGAACCCAGGATCTACCAGTCTCCAGCCGGAGCACTTAACCGATAGACCACTGAGCCGGCATCCAACGGCGGTAATGTCTAACTTCAACCAATCCACGATTTTGAGCGACCGTTCACCAATTGCCTTCAGTTAGTTGATATCTCTACAACAGACTTGGTAGAACTCCACTGGCCACTGCTTCCCAGTAGAACTCACGGCCGTCTAGTGCTTCCAGGTTTTCGATGATGGTCTAGCTTGAATTGACCCATGATTTGAACTATGAAAATACTAAAAATTCTTCACAAAACCCCCTCTAACGAAATATTTATCTTATTTATCTTGTACATTTTTCATATAACATCACTTGAAATCTTATCCTTTCTAAACTGATACTATTTTCTTTAAACTTCTACTTTAAGTTACACTAAACTAACATGTTTAAGAAGGAAGAACGTTTTATATGTATTGATTTTTATGTATTCTTTATGTAGTGAATAAGATGTAGTAAATGAAACTAAAGAATATCAGCTAATCCTCCTTTACCCAGTGACTAATGAATGACTGGAACATCTTGCTAGAACAAATGGTATCAACTCTACTGGGGAACAATTTCGAGGGATAACTGGTCCTATCTTAAAAGATATACTGTAAACATTAACATAGGTCAATATACCTAATATCCTCTATGTTGAAGACCGAATAAGTATGTAAGAGGATTATTCATTGAAGAATAGTAATATGATTTCATAACTATATTATGTATCTAATTCAATATTCTTGTTTTCATATTAATATGATGTTTTCATGTTTTGATATCATCTATATTTCTTTAATTTATGAAAGAAACCTAAATGTCAAACATTTTTCTCATTAATAAATTGTTCATTCAAAATTGTATGGCTCATTTGATTTGATTTATTGAAAACTATGATCTAACCAATAGTAACCATTTACAATCTATTCACATCTATATTTATTATTATTTTCTTGGCTAAATTTATGAATAATTTACGATCGAAATGATAAAAACATATAAACATTGTAAATTATTATTGATTAATATAATAGTGATCTAGTTCCCAAAAGAAATGTACTGCTTTAAGATACTGTGAAACGATGAGAATTAGTTTTCAACAGTTATGTTGGTGTTACAAATATGGTATCAGTTGAAGTGTAGGTTGCTGATTTCATCTTATTAAAAATTCGTCAGCTGTATTTATTAGCATTTCACTATTGATATTCGCAATTGTACCCGAACTCAGTAGCTTTCACTTCATCATTGAGTTATTAATTACTCAGAAACATTACGCATAAATTCTCTTCGTTATTGTTTGCATTGTTCAAGTTGTTGATGTTGACATCTATAATTGACCAATCTCTTTTAGTATATGCCCATGGTGATTGGATCGTCTCAATATTGCCATTTAGTCACACGTTCTTTATCAAACTTGAATAGTATCTAGCACTGGGATGCGAATTCCCCCAAATCGTGAAACAATAATACTTTATTTGAACAATCGTCATTCATAATCACTTTATCATTATTGAAGCAGACGATATTGATGAAGTTTGCAAATGAGTTTCATATCCATAGCACAAGGTAGTATTTGTCCGAAGTTAGCTATTACGACAAACACTCAAGAAGATAATATAAATTATTATTTTATCTCAGTCGTTGAAAACTGAATAATAATGGTCTTATTTGGCGGTATGAGTAAGATAGAACTGAAAAAAATATTATCATTACTCTTACGGCCATTTTTCTCTGAATGATGCCAGATCGCGGCAGCTTAAAAATGGAAAACAGACCACAGTTGACGTGATAAAATGAACAAATGATCTGTCATTTAGTAGAAATATTTACAACTTCGATTATTCATAATGTTGTTGTAGAGAATTATTGCTAAAATGCTATTTGGCTATTACTACTTTGAAGTTTATAATAATAAACCTTAAAATGCAGTTTACTCTGCTTGCTGAATCATATTTATTTGCATTCATATTGATGTACTTAGTAGGTAAAGATAATCAGAGACAGTCTGTAAACTTTGTTTATATGTATGATGATAATTATCACTAATTGAAGAGAGCTTTGACTTTAAGAAGTCCCATTTCTTACACAAAATTTAAATGTTCATCAGCTATTTTATTTAAACGATAAAGAAACACAACTGTTATATCTAGAGCTTTGATTCTTACTATGTCGCGTACTACTAGACTACTTGAACGATGGAACTTGCAACGTCGCAGGAGAAAAGACAGAAGACTAGTAAGTAGGAATTTTATTCCCCAAAACAGTGTCAAAATATAGTACAGAAATCTCATGTATTTATAGTTTTTGACTGAGAGTAAATCATCATTTCGGACAACCAATGGATACATAGGGGGTCATTATTATCCATCTAATGGGGAAGCTACACGTCGATATTCTAGAATATCCCCCTAGAAGTGATTGGATGGAATGTCTTCGGCTCTTTCTAGCCTTCTTGAGGCTTCTTAGAGTTTACCAACGAGCCATCCTTACAACAACATTACTTTGAATTCATGATTTTTTTTACATAAGATTATTCTGGTTACTGATCTTAAAAGAAATGATTTTTTATATTTTTCTTTTCTTTTTATCTAGTTCGATCCCGATAATGAAGCCCTTATCAATGAATATTTTTCATCAGAAAAAGTCGATGAAGCTGCTGAACATTGTTTACGTTTAATTGGTAGTAAAACAATTATATCTCAAAATAATCCTAATTATAATAATCATTATAATAATGATGAAAATGCTTTAAGTTATACAGCACGTAAATTAAAATGGAGACATTGTATTTTAAAAGAATTAGATCGTATTAATCGTGGTTTATTTTCATGGAATATTGGTTCATTATTTAATTATAATAAAAATATGAATACAGTTAAATAAATTCAATATATATTATAATAATTAAACAGATTGAAATGTTAAAGAACAAATTGTTTTAAAAGAGATTATATTACTTCTTCAATCTCAAAAAACAAACTAATAAAACAATTACTATTCCATACTACTTACAATAATAAATGAAGATACTACTTGTAAAATTGTAATGAATTTTATACCTGATAAATTATATTCTCTATAAATATTTTCTTTCTTTTGGTTTAATATTTACTCATATAATAATAATAATAATATTGATTTAAACAAAATTCTTACACTTTATTTGACACCCTATGTTTACTCATATAGATATATAATTATGATTAAGTACCGGATTAAAAAGGTTCTGTTACCATTTTTTTCTACTTGAAAAAAAAAAGAAAGATAACCAAATAGATTCTTGATCATAATTAAGTATCATAAGTAGCTCTTCATGAAATATTTATATTAAATGAGAGTTATCTACAATTTCATAAATTGAAAAAAAATAAATAATGGTTTAACATAATGAGATCATCTTGATGAACCTGAGAGATTCATGGTCAAATTCTATATAATTTTTTTTTATAAATTTCTAGTTTACTACTACTATTGTATTTGTTTATAAGTAGTTTGTCTTGCAATGACATTCTAGTCATTATACGTTACCATTTAAGCTAATAATTCTTATTAATTTGCATAAACAACCTTTCTATACTCTTTTATATATATATATATATAACTCATGATTATTAAATAATAAATTTTATATGGATATTTACAAAAAGTCCAACAACTAAACGTCAAATAATTAGAACTCGAAAAAAAAAGTAAATCAACTAGACAAATCTCGTGATTTTCACCGAATCGCCTTCTTTCATAAGCGCAATTATTGTTTATTTTGTCTATAGTCGTCACTTATACAAAAGGAGTTATAACTGTTATATATCGGTTAGTTAACATTCATAAAAAAAGATTAAAAAATCTATTCCCTTTACAAGCATATCCATTAATCAGTTCTCTTTAAAAGAAATGTTCATATATTTATAAACATATTTCTTCTGATAAAAATATAACATAAAAAAAATCCAGTATGGTATAACGAAATGTTATATTTTTAAGACACTTAATTATAGACATTTAGCATATGGTATAAATTTTTCCTTTTTATTATTAAAAAAAGAAAAATTATTATTATTAATAATAATAATAGTAAACGGATCTACCACACCGATGACTAAATAGAAGACCACGTGCCATGAATGGATGAAGTAGATGAAGAAATAGAGCGAGAGAGAAAGAGAGAGGAGAGAAAAGAAAAAAAAGGAAGAGAAACAAACAAACAAACAAACAACGGTACAATTTAGAATAAGTTAATGAATAAAAACAAAAAAATCTTTGTTTTTTCATGGAAAAGACCATATAATTACAGTCAAATATTTACACTGATTTAAATAGAAAAATAAAAATTTCTTTTGATTATTATATATTTAGATGGATGTTTAGTTTTAGACTTATATAATGATAAATGATTTTTCAACTTTTTCACATCTTTATTTATTACTAGTTGTATACTAACTTGAATTGTATAAACTAATAATTGAATGGCTATCAGGATTCAGTAGCTGAGTAGATAACGTGATGGCGTTTGAAGCGAAAGGTACTGGGTTCGAGTCTCAGAGTGAACATTACTTCGGAAATGAAATTACATCCAGCTTACGAGTCCTAAATAGGACGAAACGTACGTCCTGAATTCCACTGATAGCTATTATCGATCTTTGCTTATTACAATGAATAAAGTTATCCATTTGATGAGTTAAAATGAACTGGTTCATAATATTATCATTGCATACATTATTACTTGTTACTTCATACAAAGTTACATAAAGCTAAATAATTTTATTAATTAATTTACGTTTAAGTTAATGGATTAACTGTTATTTTAAATGTTGATGAAAAATTCTTATATTCTTCAAAGAATACAGGTTATTGAATGAGTTATTTTTACAGACAGAAACATCATATATTATAAAGATGGTTGACATTATGAACTAATTTTAGATAGACAATAAATGAACAACACTGATCGCTGAACCACGTAATTGTCATAGTTTTCGAACGTACTGAATCAGTTGACTTAGTCTTCAATCGGGTTCAAACTTTCAAATCCTATAATGAGCCTTTGAACCATAAAGTATTAGTTTTGCATAAAATAATTCATATTTCATACTTCAGCCAGTTTTCAACACTGTATGAATGACAAACAAAGATAAAATTTAGATTTCAAAACGGTTTTTATCATAAGCTAATAGCTATTTGACCCTAATTTAAGAACTATACACATTCTATACTTTTATCATATAGAATTTTTCAATTCTTCTTGTATTTACCCAGCTGTTCAGGTGAAATGAGGTGATGAAAAAAAAACCTATTGCCCTAAAAATCTGACATTATTTTGAAAAAAAAAAGAAACATTTTAATTTTAGTTCTTACATAATCCTTTTGTTCATTTATATAAATATCTTTTATTTATACAGTGAAATTATGTTATGTACAGAAATTCATGAACGGTTACTAATATATATATATATACTTCTATTTATAGCTCATTTTTTACACTTTATCTCACTTCAACTACATATTAACATGTGGATGCTTTAAATTTTAGATTCACCTTAAACAAAAGATAGGGATTATTTATTCTAGTTACCAAGTCCAAATTACGTAGTTTTTTTTTCTAACAATAACAAAACTGCAACTGTTGACTGTTATGCACTAAATTATTCAAATAATTTGATATATCTTAGTTTAACTTAATGGATCAATTTTTAATCTTAGTGAGATGGTTATCAATAGAATGTTAGCAATTGATTTATTCTTTTAAGAAAAGTATATGCAAAGTAGATGAGAAACTACAATGTCATCAGGTAGATTTTGTAAACTTTTAAACTAGAATACCGGAAAACTTATTTTTTTTAATCAGATGATAATTGTCTCAATGAGATTTAGATGTTTAATTCTTGTTGATTTGTTTAAAATATCACCAACTCTAATTGAGACCATATTTGACAGTTAAAGGCCTTAAATAGATTTCTGATCTTTTTAAAGGATATGCTTGTTAAAAAAAATTCGGTAATTAGATACATTTTTATCACTTGTCTGTCACCTTAGAAAATATTTGGTTAGAAATAAACTCATTAATCTAAGAATTTTTCCGTTAAAATAACATTGAGTTTTATTAAATATGGAGGATAATGATTGTTGGTAGTAATCATTGTTTCATCTAGACACTATTTATCATTGTGAAGAGTACTCAAGACACCATCATTGAATTTTTGCTGACTTATCTACCCGATAATATGTCACTTTTAAAGGAACGATAACATTCAACTTTGTTAAAACAGGATATTTCAACGTATCAGTTAAACATATATACTAATTAAATTCAAGAGTCGATTAGAGCTAGACAACCATAGAAAACCTGGAAGCAGTAAACGGTTTTTTCATCCTAGTATGGAACTCCTTAGAAGTGCGCATTCATGATCCCGCACCAAAGGGACTCAAACCTAGGACCCTCTGTCTCGCACCCAAGCGCTTAACCTCTATACCACTGAATCGGCATCCAACGGCGTTAATATCAAACGTCAATCAATCCACGAAATTGTCCCACTGTCCACCATTGTCTTCAGTGAGTTACTGCCTCATAACAGACAAGGTTAAACTCCATTGATCATGAATTTTCACTAGAACTCTAGGAAATACTTGTTGAAGCATGCGAGACCGAAGGTCCTTGGCTTTAATACCGCGAGTGTTGTCGTGGATGCGTACTGCTACGTAGTCCCATTCTAGGACGAAACGGCCGTCTAGTACTTCCAGGTTTCCCTTGGTGGTCTAGCTTTAATCGACTCTTTAATTAAACTATTAAAGTACTACAGTCTACACAAAACCCTTTCTAAACGTATACACATTGAAATAGCTATTTTATTGGATCGGTTGTTATGTGTTTTTCTGCTAACAAAACTATGCTATCATTTTTTTCCAACAAAATCGTTTTTAATCAATTTTTTTGGTTTTTGAAAGGCATTTGATTGTAAACATATTTTAAACATAATCTACAGTTGTGATCGGAACAAATCAGATCTAACGCAGTACACTTGAATTTAGTACTTCTGAGGACTACGTCCAAGTGTTTTTTAATAAATACGCGCGTGCAGTTAAATGTATTCACTATTGATTGTCCTGTGAAAATCAAGTTATCCCTCAAAATCTTTGCACTGAACCTATGTAGTCATCTTTTTTTAAGAATGTATCCGCTAACGTTCAGAGATACGTTCTTTATTTTAAGTTGTTCTTACCATAAAAACTTGTAGAAAATTGTGAACCTACATTTACTGGTAATATTTTCTTTCGACTCGGATATTTCATTGTAACATAAGGACGTGAGCGTTTCTTACCTGCCTTAACGCCAGCAGCAGAAAAATATAATCTTTTATACATGAGGAGACTAAAATTTAATTATACAAACCTATGCTTTACTTATTATGATCAGAGTTTATTACACGATTAGGCTTATCATAAGCACTGTGTATAACATTTTTTTTATAATTCTGTCCATTTTTCCATTTACAGATAATCCTGTGGTTTTAGTTTTAAAATATGATTTAAATGCACTTATACTACTTTTAAGTAGTAACATATGTTCCTTCAAATATTCATATAAACTATCAGAGTCAACAGTCGAATGGGTTTGAATTACCTAATAATTTGAATTCTAGAGAGCCCACATGTAGTGAACATTTTTAAGATTAACATCCTTTTTTAGACAAATCAAGTGAAAACATTACAAATCAGAATGTATACTAATTATAACTGAGAATAATTATTATCGTCAACTTTTGTAAATGATATTTTCAGTGTATGTATAATACACTTTTATATATAGCCTTCTGATACATTGTTGCTAGAACATGGTATTAAGTTGACAGTTACAGCATCTGTTAGATAAAATAACACGACAAAACATAATGAGATAATTCAAGTTCCACTTGAATTCAGTTATGAAACATGGACACCGTTATTCTATATCTTCAAGAATCAATCCAAGAGATCTCTATTCCAAGAATATAAAAGAAGAAAGTACGTTAGTATGTATGTATTGTATGCATAATATTAAAATCCACATTAGCAGTCGGAATTTGTAAAATCGACAAGATTGGTTGAGCGGTA